TAGACATTACCCCGATTTTACTTGTACACAATTTCGGCTCTTCGTTTGTCTTCTTTAACCGTTTCTTACTTTTACCCTCGGTTCTTCGTATTGCTCGAGCTGGGATCTCTCCGAGTTTGACCATGCTCGATTCCCAACGTATCATCTGTCCGCTCCTGGTTCCGATCTGCAGGCACCCTTGGCTTTACTCGAGCTAGTAACAAGCAACATTGTTCCTTGCTTCTCAATGGGAAATCGGGGGTTACTTTATCCACGATTTTACCCGTACACAGATAGCCCCCTCACTTCTCGGAGAGTAAATTATAGGAGCGATGAGAAATGACTAATTGACCCCAGTTCCTTCCCTCATACATCATAATCAATTTGAAAAATCGAAACGTTCAATCGCTCACGTTACCGTGATTTTGGACACGCGTCAGCCGCCGGTTGATCATCCTCGGCAGTTACCGAATGTGAAACGTCATGCATTCATTATTTCTTCTCTATAAAAGTCATGGTTTCCTATTTTCACTTTTTTACTTTCTGATTTCGAACTTCCTTGAGTTTCCCTCGAATTTTTTACCTATTGGTCAACCCTCCAAATCTTCATAACCTATTCTTTACATCCTCATATCTTCATATTTCATCTTCAAACCTTCATAGAAAATCTTCAAACCCTAATACTAAACCTTCAAACCTTCATACCAAACCTTTATAACTTCATATCCTCAGATAGAAATGGCTAAGACTTCGAAATCAGTACCCCAAAATATTGCACCGGCGACTTCTTCCTCAGCCACTGGTACCGAGGCAGCACTTCTGGTAGTCACCCCGGGGCCTCCCCTTAAAGATTTCATCCCTAGAGGCTGCTCCATAGATAATGACTTCAAGGTCGAGAAAGCCTCTACACAAGGAGATCGAGGTGAAGAAGCGTGGAGGTACATTTGCTCCATCACCGAGGAGACGCTTGGAGTAGTTCGAGATGACTGCAAGTGGGAAGGCAAAGACATAATCATTCCTCGTCCCGAAGAGGACATCACGACTCATGTGGAAGGATATTTAAGTGTTTACACGTATCTTTCACGTTCGGTTCGGTTGACACGGTGATCCTCAAATTCTGGAAGAGGTATGAAATCTGCCTCGGGCAGATTCATCTGTCTTTTTGGCGATCGTGACCCTACTTCATCACTTTGTGAACAACTCGAAGGAGCCTCGATTCATAATTGACCACCTGGTCCGAGTCTACAGCCCCTGGATCTTCTGAGAGGGGTTAATCAAGCTCGCCCATCGAGCAAAGAAAGCTGCCTTCTCCTGCATAGACGAGGGCAGGGAACGAGGCTGGCAGGGTAGGTTTGTTCGGATAAAGACTGAGGAACTCATTCCATCCGAGTTCATTCCTTCCGAGTTCATGGCGTTCCTTGAGAAGTGGAACTCAAATTGTAAGTTTACTTCCTCTTAATTTGTTAAAGTAATTTTTGTGTCTACTCTTCTTCTCATTATTTGTTTCATTTGACATGCAACTGTCATCCGAGTCCCCAATACGGTCCCGCATTTTAGGGAGTGGGTCGAGGTCATACTCAAGCAACTCACCTATCCCAAACGTGAGTGGCGCAAGCTTTCTAAAGGCAAGTGAGAGGCTCGTTCTCATGGTGAGTCCCCGCCCCTTTTTGGTTGAATTTTTTTCTTGGCCAATCCTTATTGTGTCATTGTAGGACTAAGTCTTTTCTTTCCACTGGTTTTCCTAAGACCACTAAACTTCAAGAAATCACCGAGGTAGTGGCCTCGACCCCGTCTGCAAAGCCCTCTGCTTCATTACAACCTACTGCTGAAGCTGCTGCGAAGAATGAGGAGAAAACAAAGAAGAAGAAAAGGTCTCCTAACTCCTCGGATGCTCCTTTCGAGGCAAAGAAAAAGAAATGTATCGTGCTCAGGGTCAGAAAGAGCACCAAAAGGGCTTCGGGTGCTCGGGTCCTGGATTTCGAGGCTCTTCATCAGCGTAAGAACTTTCCCGAGGATGATGATGACTTGGAGTTCGTCACTCACATGCCGTTTGATGCAGACCTGGAGTTGGTGGCCCCGGAGGGGGACGCTTGAAAGGCTGAGTCTTCCTCGGCTCGGGGGCTTGGAGAAGAACAAATGGCTACTGCTTCGCAAGAAGCTCCTCCGGTCCCGAGGGGCTGCCTCGGAAAACACCAATGTCATCCACGTTCAGGAGTCACTGCCTCATACAGAGGCCATTTTAGAAGAGGCTCGAGTCGCCACATAAAAACTGACCGAAGCATCCCGGCCCGTGAATGAGGCCCTTAACTCAGTTTTTGAGGACGTGGATGTCGGCATGCTGGAGGATTACTCCGACTTTGGCCACCTGGAGATCCCGAAAAGGTTCGTGCAACCAAGGTCAGGTGGGTCGAGTTCGAGCTCAAAGCTCAAGAAGCAGTTTACCGTCCTGAGTGTGGACCCTGAGCGAAAGAAGACAGTCATGTTCATAGTACCGGTGAATACTAGCATGCTATTCGGGCCAGTCGGAGTGGACAACTATATCCGTTTCTTAGTAACCAAAGAGGACCAAGTGAAGATGAACGAGGTAGACGAGCCAAGCCTCTTCAACAAGGCTCGACAGGCGCTAAATAGGGTATACCTTCCTCTCTTTTCATCTTACACAGTTCTCTTTGCCTTCACTGTATTTTAACAATTTTTCTTTCTTTATATTTCAGGACTCGATGCTTCACCATTAAAGCTTTCACCGGTCTAGGATGGAGGTGAGTCACCTCAAATTTGAGCTCAAGGAGCAGGTCCGACAAACAGAGATGTATAACGCTCTCTGTGAGTAGAAGGATGAAGTCCTTAGGGACATGGTCGACCGCTCTACCCTCCAAGCTGAGCTCGAGAAAACCCAAAAAGAGACTTTGAAAGCGAAATAGGACCATGCCCTTCTAGTTTAAAAGGTAAGAGTGCTCAAGATCAATAACGAGAGGTTAAATGCAAATTCTAATGCCGCAACCTTGCAGGTCCAGGAGAAAATAACCTTGATCGACCAGCTTAGGTACAAATGGACGAGGTCAAGGATTCAGTTGATGAGTTTAGGGGAAAAATGGATCTCCTAGCATCGGAGTGGGATGCCTCCAAAGAGGACCTGTCCTCAACCAAAGTGCAGTTACGAGTGCCGGGAGAAAAGGCCGACAAATGGTCTCGGCTGAATGAGGAGCTCCGGGCGCAACTTTCCTTGGTCGTTGTAGAGTGTGACGCTCTCGGCTGAAAATATACTGCTTTGAAGTCCAAATTGGAGGTGGCTTCAAATGAGGTTTCGGAAGCCCAGGACATGTTGTCCCAGTACAAGAATGACGTCGAGGTAGCCGAAGCCCGTATTAACAAAGGATGAATATGTGAAGTGGATATTTCGGAGAGAGACTCTTGAAGAGATCCAAGCTTGAGGGGTCAACTTAGCGGCCGAGATTGAAAAGGCCAAGATGCTTGAAGTCGAGGCCAAGAAGAGGTACTAGCCCGAGAGTTCGGATTGCGAGCCGGGCTCCGATGAAGACTAGGCAGGAAATGCCTTAGCTTATTTTTGCCTTTTTTGTTTTTTGTATTGTACATTTTGTGCTTTGGGGACGTTTCCTCGTGCCTTTGTAAATACCTTTCGGTAAATGCATATATATAAAATTACCCTTCGGCTACATTTTGTGTCCTTTAATTTTCTGCATTTACTTATGTTTGGGACTTAGGATATGTAACCTGTGTCTCAAACTTAATACAACATCGATGCCTTAGCATAAAATTTATTTAAATTGTTAAACTTCCAAAGGCCGAATGGGGCTTGGATCAAATAACGACTCGAATGATTTATCCGGGAAAAATTAATCTTTGTGAAGGTAGCTCTTTTCATGGCCGTAATTCGAGATCGATCGACTTGATCAGATTGGACATAATCTTTTATGGATTTAAAATGTGTAAGGACCTTACTTTTTATATGCACGAACTCAGACGTCTCCGAGTCGTTTATATATTGTGATCGAAGCTCTAAAGGCTTTGTATCTTAAGTTGGCTGTGGCCTTTTGTGTTTAGGACTTGCCTCGTAGACTAGGTGCCCTCGGGATTTGATGGCCCGATTTTCCCGATCTTATTGTCGCTCAACAGTCCGCGGTTCGGGTTGACCCATCGGCTTAGGAGTTTTTAGATGGTAGGGCACGGTCTCGTGGATTTTACTACCTTTGGGGTTTTATTCCCCCTGTTAATGGTGGCCCGCGGGCCTAGAATATTTTGAACCCTCTACTCATTCTAAGTGACGTAACGATAACATTGCTTGTGCAAATGTGAATCGATGAAACATAGAAGGCGAATTTTTTTTATTACTTTAAATGTAGTGCAAGTAATCGAAGTTACAAAAGCTATCTGCTGTCCCCCGTCTTAGACCGGTCTTGAAAATTAGGGTAGCACGCTTACAGTTGCCTCGTTAAAAACTTTTCCGTAAAACCCACTTCGGGAAAAAATCGATCGAAGAGAAAAAAAGTGCAATATATTCTTTCAGACCTAATCCTAGGACTTGACTTCGATTGAGTACCTGCATGGGTTAGTTCAAAGCGTAATAAGCCTTCAAGAAATTTATGTATTCATACCTTAGCAGTAGTACCGCTTTAAGTGTGCAACAATCCAGTTGCTTGGAAGTTGTACACCATTTTTGGACTCAAGTTGGTACGAGCCTTTCTCGGTTATACCGATGACTCTGTACGGTCCCTCCCAGTTTGGACCTAATTTCCCGTCATTCGGGTTTTTAGTATGCAGTGTGACCTTCCTCAATACCAAGTACCCAACTTAGAAGTGTTGAAGGTATGCCCTGCGGTTGTAGTATCTTCCTTCGTTGTTAACCGGACTAGGGCGACTTCTCGTCTTTCGTCTACTAAATTTGGACTTGTGGCCATGGTCTCGTCATGTGATGTCTCCGTAGCATATCAGAACCTTAAGCTTGGTTCTCCCACTTCTACCAGAATCAAAGCCTCTGCGTCGTGACTAGAGAGAGTGATGTTTCACCAATGCTCGACCTCGAAGTTGTTCGATATGCCCATAGGACCTCTGGCAGAGTTTCTTTCCACTTTCATTTTGAGTCGGTCATCCTTTTCTTCAGGTTCTGCAAGATAGTTTTGGTTTTTTGACTCCGCTTGATTGTTTGCACTCGGGCGATAAGGGGTCGATAAAATCTTTTTGATTTTGTGATCTTCGAAGAACTTATTAATCTTGCTGCGGATGAATTGTCTCCTGTTGTCACACGTAATTTTTGTTGGTATACTGAACATGCATATTATATGATCCCAGATGATGTTGATAACCTCCTTTTCTCTAACTTTCTCAAACACCTGTGCTTCAACCCACTTGGAGAAGTAATCGGTCATGAGCAAGATGTACTGAGCTTTTCTGGGTGCCCATAGTAAAGGGCCTATGATGCCCATCCCCCACTTCATGAATGGCCAAGGGGAAAGGACCGGGTGAAGCAGCTCCCTGATTCGTAGATCATCGGGCCATGCGTTTGAAATTTGTGGGCATATGCAAGCAACTCACCTATCCCGAGCGTGAGTGGCGCAACCTTTCCAATGGCAAGTGGGAGGCTCGTTCTCTTGGTGAGTCCCCTCACCTTTTTGGTTAATTTTTTTTCTTGGCCATTTCTTATTGTGTCATTGTTATGACTGTCTTTTCTTTCCACTGGTTTGCCTAAGACCACTAAACTTCGGGAAATCATCGAGGCCATGGCCTCGACCCCGTCTGCAAAGCCCTCCGCTTCACTACAGCCTACTACCGAAGCTGCTGTGAAGAATAAGGAGAAAATGAAGAAGAACAAAAGGTCCCCTGACTCCTCGGACGCTTCTGCCGAGGCTAAGAAAAAGAAAGGTATCGTGCTTAGGGTCAGAAAGAGCACCAAAAGGGCTTCGGGTGCTCGGGTCCCGGATTTAGAGGCTCTTCATCGGCTTAAGGACTTTCCCGAGGATGACGATGACTTAGAGTTCATCGCTCACGTGCCGATTGATGCCGACCTAGTGTTGGTGGCCTCAGAGGGGGACACTCGAAAGGTTGAGTCTTCCTCGGCTCGGGGGATAGGAGAAGAACAAATGGCTACTGCTCATATAGAGTCCATTTCAGAAGAGGCTCGAGCCGTCATAGAAAAATCAACCGAAGCATCCCGGGCTGTGGATAAGGCCCTCAACTCATTTTTCAAGGGCGTGGATGTCGGCATGCTAGAGGATTACTCTGGCTTTGGCCACCTGGAGATCTAGAAAAGGGTCGTGAAACCAGGGTCAGATGGGCCGAGTTCGAGCCCAAAGCTCGAGAAGTAGTTTGCCGCCCTGAGTTTGGACCCTGAACAGAAGAAGATGGTCATGTTCATAGTACCGGTGAATACTAGCATGCTATCCGGGTGTGATAATCCCCTAGTACTCGGGGCTGACTTTTGAGGGCTCGAGTGTTATTGATCTAATACGCGCAATCCTCAGTACCCGGTCTTAGACCGGTCTTCAACACTAGGGTAGCACGCTTACTGTTGCCTCGTTAAAAACCTTGCCATAAAACCCACTTTGGAAAAAAAATCGATTGCAGAGAAAAATAGTTCATGACATGCTTTCAGACCTAATCCTAGGACTTGACTTCGATTGAGTACCTGCATGGGTTAGTTCAAAGCGTAATAAGCCTTCAAGAAATTTATGTGTTCACACCTTAGCAGTAGTACCTCTTAAAGTGTGCCACATTCCAGTTGTTTGGCAGTTGTACACCATTTTCGGACTCAAGCTGGGACGAGGCTTTTCCAGGTTATACCAGTGACTCTCTGCGGTCCCTCCCAGTTCGGACCTAGTTTCCTGTCATTCCGGTTCTTGGTATGCAGTGTGACTTTCCTCAATATCAAGTCCCCGACTTAGAAGTTTCAATGGTTTGCCCTTCGGTTGTAGTATCTTCCTATTCGTTGCTAACTGGACTAGGGCGGCTTCTCGCCTTTAGTCTACTTAATTTAGACTTGTAGCCATGGACTCGTCATTTGATGTCTCCGTAGCAATGGCCTCGTCATTTAATGTCTCCGTAGCATATCGAAACCTTAAGCTTGGTTCTCCCACTTCTACCGATCTACGTCGTAGACTAGAGAGAACGGTGTTTCACAGGTACTCGACCTCGAAGTTGTTCGATAGGCCCATAGGACCTCGGGCAGAATTTCTTTCCACTTTTGTTTTGAGTCGGTCAACCTTTTCTTCAGGTTCTGTTATGTCGCCCAAACTCACCCCACAAATATAGGTAGTGAGGCGGTCGAAGCAATAATAAAAACCCAATGCAAGTTGGGGTCGAATCCACAGGGAGTTAGAATTGGAATCAGGTATATACTTAGTGTAATTGTATGATGTGCCTCAAATTACACTTCCACATTCTTTTTTGTTGTTTCTACTTCTACTTTTAACTATTGATTACAATTATAAAACTACAAGACAATATTTTTGGTTTTTGGTTGTTTTTCAAATGATAAAAGATCTAGGGTCGTGACTTCCACCTAGGTGGTTACCTAATGGGTTGTAAACTCTAGGGCAAGTTTGATTGTCGGGGTTGTAATATAGCAATCACACGCAATTACCTACTCTATACCTCTCGGTAGTTTGAGTTATTTTGCCCAATTTGGCTTTCTCAAGTCCAAATGGGTATTGCACAAAACAAGTGATATATGCTTAAGTCGGGTCTTACTATCTCTAGATTTGACCCTTTAATTGGGGCTATCAATTTCTTGAGTTTACCCCAATTTCTTGTTAGCCAAGTTTTCCTAGACGTAGTTTCTCTTTCTCAAGAAGAGACTAAGTCAATTAGGCACGAATCAATGTTTGCAACCATTAATTCTTGAATTCAAGCATGAAAAAGGCTAAATATCACTAACCCAATCACAAAGAAGCGCTAAATCAAACACCCATTAAATACCCACACTAGGGTTGGGCCACAACCATAGCTAGAAATTTAGCTACTCATGAAAAATGAAGAAATTCAAGAAGAAATTAAGATAGAATGCATAATAGTTGATTAGGGAAAGAAAATCTAATGTTAGAAGCTAATCTAGTACAATATTACAAAAAAAAAAAAGAAAGAAAACGGCTCAGGTGCTCTCCCCAAAACAAAACTTAACCTAAAAAAGGCAAAAAGTTCTATTTATACTAAGCTAAAAATATCTGACGAAAAGGCCCCTGCCGAGGTTGTGCGGCCGCACAATAATGTGTGCGGTCCGCACAAATAGACTTGGCTTGACAGGTTCCATCTCTGCGGTCGCACAATTCTTGGTTTCGGCCGCACTCCTTCTTCTTGTGCGTACCGCACAATTGTGAGTGCGGCCGCACTCTTGCTTCTACGTCCGCACAATATTAGTGCGGTCCACACTCCTTGACTTTGGTTTTGAACCCAGCTCTCTGATTCTTCTCTTCTGTGAGCCGCATAATTGTGAGTGCGGCCGCACTTGTCATCTTGCGGCCGCACAATTATGGTGCGGTCCTCATATCTTCAGCTATCCCAAACCAACTCTCTGAATCTCCTCTTTTGCGGCAGCACAATATTTGTGCGGTCCTCATAATCTGAAGAAAAATTGACATGGCTCTTTCTTTGTTTTGCGGCCGCACACATTATCTTGTGGTCCGCACTATGGGCCTTTTTGCCTTATTTTGGTCCTTGTCCACTTTTGACTCCTTTATGAGGTTATTTTGATTTCTTTGGATCATATTGCAACACTCCTGCAAGCAAGCACATTTCATTATTTTTCGGGAATACCTTTAAGCATTTTTGAGCTAAAACGCAAGTGAAAGAGAGCAAATAAGTGGTCAAAAACCCTACTTATCAACTCCCCCAAACTTAAGCTTTTGCTTGTCCTCATGCAATTGAGGCAATTCCCACCTCCACTAGAAAAAGGGATATTTCAGCTGGTCTAAGGTGAATCAATCACATATTAATTCGGACCATCAATTACCCACAACACGTATGAATTGTCAACAATGCAATGATTTGACTTTTTGAGTACAATAGTTCTAATGTGACACTAGAGCATCAAGAGTTGACTTTATTCATCAATGTAGCTCGCTCTTTCATGTAGGTCATTGTGGATCCCAAACTCCTCCTCATCTACCCTCCATTAGCATATCTCACTTTAGAATGTAACACTCGAATCAAGGATCGTGAGAAGTTAGCTCATCTCTCTCAAAAGAATGTCACAATTCCGGCTCTAAGTACCATAAGCTTGCCCCTCATGTAAATCACCACTAATGTAAGCTCACTCACCTTGAAATCATGTAGGGCTTTTTCGGGATGTAATGAAGGCTTTTTGGATCAAGGTAGGACTTGATGGAATAGGATGGGTTCATCTTTCCTTAAGCACTCCATTTTCTCTTTTTGGCTCATACTTTGTCGACTCTTTGAGTCAATTTCTTTTTCCTCGGGGGAACTAGAGAGACGTAACATCACTCTTTCTTGGTCATGACATTCATTTTTCTCCTTTTCTATTTAATCCATGCCTTTCATCATTGTTTTCTTTGAATCCCTTCAACTTTCTACCTTATTCACTTTCTTTTTGGCATTTTTCTTTTTATTTTTTCTTTCTCTTCTTTGCCTTCCCTTTTCTTCATTTCTTTCTCTTCTGTGTCTTTCCTTTTCTTCATTTCTTTCTCTTCTTTGTACCTTTTATCACTTTCAAACTCCTCGTCTCTCCCCCAAACTTATGTTTTTGCCAATTGTTTCTCAAGAATGCTAAGGAAATATTGGGTGCCAAGAGAGGATCATTACAAAACGGATAAAGGCTTGTAACATGGTTACCGAAAGAAAAAGGGCTTAGGCTCAAATGGGTTGACTAGGGATATCACATTGGTAGGCTATTGAGGATTTCAAACTTCAAATCGGATCAAGGAGAGTCTACATTCATTTCTCAAGCCAAGCTACACTTAGAACTTTGCCTAGAAAAACATTCAGGGCAAGTTCTAGACTATAAGCACGGGTACTTGGACTTGCAAATCAATACCTCACCTCTCACGTTGTTGGATTGCCAAAGAGAACGGAGTCGAGGGCCCACAACAAACCTAGTTAAGATTGAGAATCATAAATTGCTCGATTGAACCACTCGATGACTTCTTAAGTCAACACAAGAGTCAAAAGGTCACAACTAGAGCTATTTTCTGCCAACAACTTTGTTTTTAACCATAAGACCGTAGATAAATGTGTTGGTACCAAGTGAAGCATGCTTGAGACCCTTTTTATTCATTACCACTATATTTTCCTAAACATAAAAGAAAACGGACTCAACCCCTTAAGAAGGTTGTCACACCATCCATCGTTGGGAAGAGCCACCCGGTTCACACGAAATCCACCTTTGGAAAGAACCGTGGCACTAAGAAAACTAAAGGCTTATTGTTCACTTAAACGAAAAAGAAGCTAACAAATCAAAAAGAAGCTACTAAAGCAA